CATACGCAGGCAGCTGGTGGGAAAATGAGCTTCCGTTGTGGACGGCGACGGCATCCGCGGCCAAGCGATTGCTGAGCAGGAGCGAATCGGTGACTTCATCCTCAGTTGGGATTTCAGTTGCGAATTGGGAGACCCTTGTGACCCTGCAAGCCTGTCAGTCAATCGGTCTCTCCCTCACTTCCACCTCACACAAAAATCACTGTCTTATTCACCACCAGGTGCCCCCGTACTATGATGAATATCGCAAACTGTTGAATCTCAATCCCTACCACTTCATGCGCAGAAGCCCAAGATGAGCGGCTCAACTGAGCTGCCCTTACGAATGCGCTGTTGCACATTTCCTGCTTCGTTCGACCGCCATGGGCCAACTCGGTGACATGTCGCCTCAAGGCACCATTGCTGTGCGCTGCTCACATTCCTTGAACATCTTGTACCGTCCCTGCTAACCGCGAAGGCAGATCGGAATCATCGTTGGCCTCTTGTCCACCTCCGTCCAAAGCCTGGGTCTGACCCTTCAGCGAAAGTCGCACCTGATCGAAGATGCGAAACATCACTCAGAGCCGCGGATTCCTCCCTATAGGAGGCGGCGATGGCAGTTGGGCATGTTGATGTTCATTGTGTCCAACTTGGTGGGCAGCACAATCCAGATCACTACTCTGCCCCTGCCAGTCCTCTCGACGTTACAGGCTTCCGGGCTGGTCTTCAACACTGCGTTCGCCACCCTTCTGCTGGGCGAACCCTTTACCCATTTCTCATGTGTGGGCACAATCCTTACCTGCTCAGGGGCAGGGTTGATAGCCACGTTCGGAGCCATTGGGGAGCCGGCGCATAACCTGCATCAATTGCTCGTTCTTCTCGGCAAGCGCAATTTCATCATTTGGATGGTTGGGACAATGGTTGTCGTCGTGGCCACCATCTTGTTTGCTCACGTCTTGAAGATGTGGTCGTCTCATAAACGAATTGTGGAATGCCTCCCAAAGAGTGAAAGACCTCGAGAAGGATCAACCAGTACCGACCGCCCTCGAATGCTCTCGCGCTCTTTCACCGCCCAGCTACCTCAACCGCTGAAACTACGTGTCAGCCGTTTGCGATTGGCCCGAGGCTTGTCCTATGCTCTGATATCTGGCATCTTGTCTGCGCATTCTCTCCTTGTTGCTAAGTCGGCCGTGGAGCTCCTTGTCCGGACCGTTGTCGACCACAAGAACCAATTCGACCGCTTCCAATCATGGCTGATCCTGGTGGCGCTGCTCTTCTTTGCCTTGACGCAGTTATATTACTTGCACCTTGGTCTTCGACTATGCAGTACTAGCGTATTATACCCCTTCGTGTTTTGCATTTACAACATTATTGCAATTCTAGACGGCCTGATCTATTTCCAACAAGGATCAAGATTGAGTTCTCTTCATGCAGGTCTGGTGGCGTTGGGTACTGTTATACTTCTTTCTGGCGTCCTGGCATTGTCTTGGAGATTAGATGATACGACACCTGCAGAAGCCCCGTACGAGTCGGCCTCTCCGCGGACTCCGCTTACGCCAGGAATGGGAATATTGCGGTCACCCGTGGACGAAAGAGCTCCTTTACTATCAAAGGGACGGACGAGAAGCTACACAGCTGGTTCAAAACGATCAGTTGAGGAGCAGGCGTCGCTGGCTGTTGGGCGCACGCGCCCCCCCGCTCTTTCCGTTCATGCGCCGCCAGATACTGACACGGAGGGCATCTGGGCAGAATTAGACGATCAGGAGCGCCAGGATGACTACCTCGCTTCTCTCCCTCGAACACCATCTCCTTTCCTGACCCATAACTTCAAGACTCGTCAAAGAGGCGACTCGGCCTCTTCAGAAGCCATTTCAACAGGAAGCAGACGCGACTCGGACGCATCAAGAATCACTCCTACACCGGGCCAAAGTATACCCTCTCAAGGGGCAAATGGTGTTCACCGGAGGCGAAGCAGTGCGCCCCAATCTCGTACACCAGCAACTGATGGGCCCGAAACGACTCAGTCTCATCTCCACGCTCGTCACAGGAGTACATCCGTTCGCTTTGCTGATGACAAAGGCCAGAAAAAGGACAGTAATGACGATGATCAACTTGCACGACAGCCCGTTCGAAGTCGATATGATCACAGCGGCGCGGAAGACAAGGCAGAGAACGACCCTAACGGGCCTTGAGAAGGTATTAGAATTAAATAGTTCCTGAACAGCAGGGGTTGTGAGGATGAGCATCGCAAAGAAGCGGAATTATAGAACAAGCAGTATCAATGAGATGTTGTTCCGCTTCAACTATGGATGCCTCCGGGTCGACGGAGATCTGAGCAGTGTATTCATATCTTCTATTAACGGTCGTATTAAATCAAGTGACACAGAATTAAAGTGCTTGGTCGATCATGGATCTCATCAAAACCCGCCATGTCCCTTTGTGAGTGTCACAGGTATCGTGATTTGAACACCATCAGATGTTCGGCCATTTAGTGAGCTCCCTCTGGGGGTGTATTATAGAACTGCGTCCATAACTCCATCGTCTTTATGTTTGCGAAACTATGGGAGTCCAGACCTCCTGCCGCCGCTGCAAGTTACCGGTATTATATTGCGATATCGCATGCCGCAAACGACGCCTAATTGAAAGAACAGGACAGGACAGGGTACATGGCGTTCAACTCCACGACGATCTCCTGGCTCGAGGCGAATTCGACCTCGCCCACAGTCGAGGAGGGTAGTCCAGGCACAGCCCGCTGTACTCTGTAAAGTCCGTGATCTTGCTCTTCTTTTGCCTTCTTCGAAACAAGGGCCAGTAAGTTGACCGGGCAATTTCTTACTATGGTCATCTTCAGAAGTGGCTGATGTCGTGCCCCCATGCCTGTGCCTGTGCCCGTGCTCGTGGCAGTGGCAGCACGCGTGCCCTGCCTTGTCCTCTGGGGCAAAGCCCGAGGTTTCTCGTCCTCACGTCCAAGTATGGTGATGTCGATGGAAGTGAAGAGGTGTCTGCTTCCGAGTGGTGCATGCCTTGCGACCCTCGCTTCCTCCTCTTCCTCTTTTTCTTCTTTCGGCTTTATGGAAACACACCCCTATTCTCGAATTATGCTGCATATTTTCTGCTGGGTGCCCCTTGGTATAACGGGCGTAACAGATACTGTCGCTGTTGGGTTGGAGTTTAGAGAATGGCGTACGGTCCAATATCGAAGGAACCTTGAGCCCCGGATGCTCTTGTATTGCCTGATTGCTCGATTGCTTCGCGTTCCTCGTTGGCATATTCGTTGCCTTTCATGGGAGTATCGATACCAGGGTTACCGCCCAGGATGATCAGAGGAGAGAAGGCATGTCCCCTGTCCAATTGCACCTAGAGCAGTTGAGGCCTTTGAGGAGAAGGGACGCTTTTGGACAGAATCTGGACCTTCGTTTTGGTCCAAACTACAGTCAAATAGAGAGACTCAACCATCCTTCCTCATGGGCACAGGACTATCCGTCATTCCCGTCCGATCCGTCGCCTCTCCTTCTTCCGTATCACTGCCTCCCGTCTCATTGGCATCGTCCGAATCCTCGCTCGACTCATCCCAAATCTCTCTGCTCTCCCTCTCTACTCGTCTCATAGCGCCCGCGACTTCGTCCAATTTGCTCACAACATCCAGCACGCCCTTATTAATCTGCGAGAAGTACCGATCATTTGCCTCGCGTCGCTTCCTTGCCAGTTGAATGTCTCGTTCTGTTTCTTCTTCGAGGTTCTTGTCATTCGTGAATGCGCTTGGCTTCCCGTCTGGAGACCCTCCATCCTGGGCTGTGGCAGGCGAGGTCGTGGTGCCGGTTCCAGGGCCTGCACCTTTTGGTCGTTGTTGAGTGGACGGGGTGGCGGAAGCCTTGGTCTCTAATGCCGCGCCTAGGCTTGACTCTTTCTGCGAGACGATGTCAAAGTCATGATCCAACGACTCATCCGCTTCAATCTTCGCCCATGTCTGCGCCAGGGACAGCTGTGCAGTCCGTAGCTCTTCCAGTGCACGTAGATGAGATGACCCAAATACGTGAGATGTGTTCATGGCCGAGATCTCTACGTCCGCAAGGGTCTTTTGCATTTCCGTCCAGAGCTGCTCAGCACGCTGGTCGTCCGCAACTGCCCCCGCGGTAGGGTGGCGTAGCTGAGATGGAGTAGTGCCGGAGAAAGATGAGGCAGGAGGAACGCGAGACGGACGGATGATCTTTCGCTGTCCATGTTGAGCTCCACCATCAGCTTCTGCGGGAGGGCGATCTGTTGGGATGGCGATGGAGATATGCGACGCATTTTTGGACGGAGGACCCTGGAAGAGGGCTGGAGGAGGGAGACGGTGGGCGGTTGTTCGAGTAGTGGTGGTATTGAGCTTGGGTCGTTCACTACTGGGCGTTGCGACCGGGACTTCGAGTTGCGGCAGTTTCCTCGCGGAAGACGATGCCATGGCTCTGAAGGGGATATGGCAGAGAGCCACGCTCCCACCAATGGTGAAAAGGCTAGATTTCAGTTGTCATTGAGAGATCGGTCGAGCCGCGTATATAAGGTTGAGCGGCCGATGAGGTACTTACATTATTGCGAGGCTGAGGTCGAGGCGGGGGAATAATACCCAGTACTCGGTAGACCGAGACCATTGGATCGGATGGGACTAGGGATTTGCGCGAAGACGCAGTTCCACTCCGCCGTAGAGATATTTGGTTTCTGCCTCCTTTCACCGCTTTTCACTCTTGGCGAAGCGCACCAAACTTTCTCGAATTCCGGGGCCTCGTCAATATCGCCGTCGCTCGATCTCACGACCTCAACACCGTCAATTCTACAGTTTCATCAATCGTCTGCTTGTCACAGAAGCCAGTACGTACCATTCTCCCGGTCTCTCCCATCACTCATGAAATATCACGATACACAAAAGACATATCGGCCATACGCTTATCTCCCGAACCCCAAGGCTCAATTTCACTTCCATTCACACACAGCGCACCTTGATAGAAGAAGCCCTATCAGCTAACCAATCCCTGTTTCATTCTCTAGAAATGACAAACAGAGGCAAACCCCGCGGTCTCAACGCCGCCCGCAAACTCGTCGCCGCCCGCAAAGAGGGTCGCTGGGCCGATCTGCACTACAAGAAGCGCCTTCTCGGCACCGCCTACAAGTCCTCTCCCTTCGGTGGATCCTCACACGCCAAAGGCATCGTGTTGGAAAAAGTTGGAGTCGAGGCCAAGCAGCCCAACTCGGCCATTCGGAAATGTGTCAGGGTGCAGTTGATCAAGAACGGGAAGAAGGTGACCGCTTTCGGTATGTGTTCCTCCAACAAACGATCAACATTCGCCCCGAAAAGGCTTGATCAGGAAATTTGGCTGGCTCTTTTACTGACGAATTCTGTCCTTGCTCTTCCCCACAGTGCCCAACGACGGCTGTCTCAACTTCGTGGACGAGAACGACGAGGTCCTCTTGGCCGGGTTCGGTCGCAAGGGAAAAGCCAAGGGTGATATCCCCGGTGTGCGGTTCAAGGTCGTCAAGGTCTCCGGCGTGGGCCTGAGCGCCCTGTGGAAGGAGAAGAAGGAGAAGCCACGATCATAAACGGATGCATGGATGATGGGCGGTTCGTGTTGGTGTGGTGGCCAAGCGTCGAAAACACCAGCGTGAGAGACAGATGGCAAGGCTGGCCTGGTTTGGTGGGAGATAGGGAGGCGAGGGATACGCCCATGCTCAGCAGAGACCATCACTAAAAGGAGGAGAGAGTGCTCATGACCAAAACGCAAACATACTGTCGCCCATCCTTGCGGAGAAAGGCGAAGGGTGCAAAGGAGCTTGCGAGATGTGCGGGATGTGGCCTAAGTGGAATGCAGCATTGTTGAACGAAAAGAAAAGAAAAAAAGATAACAAAAGTGTCCCATTCCGAGGGCTGGATTTTCCCAGCTGCTCCTGGATTGCCATGGCGGAGTCGGGTCTGTACAATGCAACTTGAGGCTATCTCACTCAATAGACGATGCTGGTCAGAATTCAAGACCGACCAACCGACAGACCAACTAGGTCACATCAGACAATTACGGGAAACACCGCTTAATGATGTCTTGATTAGCATTCCCTATACCCATCCTCCGCCATCAGTCAAAGACGCTATGTGTATTTCTCGAAAACAGACATGTACTTTTCGTGGTGTTTTCCTACTCATGTCCACGCCCACCTACCCGCGAATATGCGTACCCTTGAGACGAATGAGGCCATTATTGGTAGTTGTTTTTTGCATGCCCTGCTCTTACAGGCCTTCGCGTCAACTGAATAAATTAACCGTTGCGTATTAATAAACTGTTGTCGAAGGGAAAATCGACACAGTGCGACAATCCACAAGGATCTTGAACCCTAAAACTGGTCTCGTCGGTGACTCCCGTCAATGCATCACGTCCATAGCTTCTCGCTTGGATCCTTCAATGTCGCTCTTAGCATTCTTGCCCTTTCTACCCCGAATCGAGCCCAACGGAGGCGTTTTCAGTCCGATCGTGTCAGTCTCTCCGTCATTGCTGATAGGGCTTCTAGCTTCATCATCCTCGCTTCCTTCCGGGCTAGGTGGCTGGCTGTCGCGCAAAGCTCGTTTGCCTCGCATCATCTGTTGTAAGATTGCCATGTCAGCGCTGGAACCCATATTGATAGGTCCATATCAAGTTTCCCGTGCTTACCCATGATTTCACACCGCCGATCAAGCCCAAGCTATAGCCCGCGGCAAAGTCCTCGCTCCTACTGAGCCTGCCAGGAGAGTCATTTCTCTTCTCTGGGTTGATCGTCTCCAACTGCTTCAACTGTTCAACGGTAGTCATGCCGCCGCTGATGGGACTTTTCAGAGCTCCGTCACTCATCTGTCTGTTAAACGGAGCCGGACTCGCGGGTCTCGAGTTGGCGTTCGTCCAGAACGATCGTAGGTCCCGTGAGATCTCTCCTCCGGCGGTAACCCAATTTGACTTGACACTATCCCTCAATTCCTGCATGTGTCTCTTGAGGTCGAGCTCGTTTTTCTTGAGCCAGCTAATGTTCAGCTCCTGGCGGCTAGTTCCTCTCTTGAGTTGGCGAACGATATACTTTTCATAGTCTCGGACGATCTTCGTAATGATTCCGGTTGTCGAGACTCCCTCGGTTCTCTGCGTGACGAGGAACTTGCCCTCCTTTTTGATAGGTGCATAAATGTCATCCCCTTCGTCGGCGCCATAGGGTTCGTCGTCGTGGGCGACATAGTCGATCTTGTGCTTTTCCAGAAACTCTGGTGTCACAATCCAAGGGCAATTGGGAATGACCTCGTCGACCCATCTGCAATGGCGAAGTGTCTCTGCTCTTTCCGCACCTGTAAGCACGGTCAAACCTTTACGCTTGTGTGTCTCCGCGTCCCCCGTAACGCCGACTATCAGATAGGTGTCGGGGAATGCAGTCTTCGCCTGTTCAAGCTGGCGCATGTGCCTTTGCAGGAGGTTAGCACCCTCGCGTCGATAGAGTTGTCCGCGGTGGCTTACCCAAGGTGGAACAGATCAAACACCCCGTCGGCATAGACCCTCACAGGTCTACCCACCGGTGGCGGATTGGTCTTGTAACCAAAGGGGTCTCTCAAGCCGGCTTTTGGCACGTCCTCCATTGTGCCCCGGTCCTCATTGACAATGGCTTTTCTCACGGCACTGGCGACGGTCCTTGGCCTTCTCCTTGCCGTTTCCTCGATCTCTTCACTATCCACGGTAGTGCTGGAAGGCTCGCCGGGGTCTTCCTTATTGACCAGATCTTTTTCGGGCGCTCCATTGGGCTCGACAGGTTTGGCATTGGACCGCGTACGTGCTCGCTTGCTAGGTGGCACGGCGCCGTCGATGGAATTGCTGGACGCATGCTTTCGGTTTCGCAGGTTGTGCGAGGGAGAATCGGCCAATTCTTCGCCTGAAGCGTCGCGTGACGATGGCTGTTGGAGGTCTGTTGGGGCGACCATCCTTTTTCGTTTTGCGGAAGCCGTAGACGATGGCGACGACATGTCGAGAGGATGTTGAGAACTCCAGGCGATGTTCAAGTCGGTCTAGGTAGTCCCACGCCAGGAAGGGGAGTGTCAGGAGACAGTCCCTTGGGAGGGAGTCGAAGAGACGGAGTTTCCAGCAGACCGTGCCAAGATCCACAGACAGAAACAAATTTCGGGGATTGTGAGAAGCGAGAGAATGAAGCGAGTGGGCGTTGCGTGATTGTCAGGTTTGTTCAGACTAAGATTTGACCACGAAATAAAAGCCCTTCAAGGAATCCTTCTACAAGTGCTCCGTACGGTGCTCCATATGGTAAAGGCGTTCCTCTCCCCGACAAATTGGACAACGCAAGAGCATCGGGCCAAAAACCTGTTGTTGGCAATGCCGTCGGAGGTGCACGACAGCGAGGAGCGCAGGCATGTGGCTCGCCCTGGTGTCTTTTTGGTCCCTCCACATCGGCCAAGTCAGGGCGATTGAAACGGGAGGGCACCAAGGGAAGCTGCTGGTCAAACGTCATCCTCCGTCCTGGCTATTCTATACTACAAATACAGCACAACCTGCTTGTTTCGCCACGTCGTCCCGAGTCGGGAGCGTAGAGGGGAAATGTACCTACGGGCAAGTTCTCCCCAGCCAGTTGCTGCCGCCGAGCCGGATTGACATACACAGGTGCACGCAGACACGTGCACATCCTCTCTAGGAATCGTAATCTCTTATGAATAACTGGTGGTTGCGGTGCGGCGCTCAAAAGAAACTCGAGATATGTCCTCTCCCACGCAATGCATATAGATAAGAGGTACAGGAGGAAGTGACATCGATCTACCGTCCTGCTCATTGCCTCGTCGCGCGGCAATTTGCAAACATGACCGCATCAAGGAAGTCAGTTCATGTGCACGCTCTTCCATGTAGGTCTAAAACCAGTATCATGCATGCTAGGAACTCTTCGTCAATGCGCTGACAGCAGGGGTATCTTGTGTCGGGAAGAAACTAGATCTGCCTGTCTGGGTTCGCTCATACTCCGCTCTCAGGCAGCCGTCTTCTGTGTCGTATCATCTGCTGTTCCTCTGATCTCGGTGTCTTTGCTCTGCGAGGCATCATGGTGACTTGACGCTTTCGATTCATCGCCAGCCGATTGTGGAGCCGGGGTACCTTCTCGTTCACTCCGCGCAGACTCGATGTCTGATGTGTCTGGAGTGCCCTTCTTGACCTGGTTCGCCGCATCTTTGTCTTCATCGCTTTGATCGAACATATCCGTGTCGTCCGAATCTGTCAGGACCTCTGTCCCATCCCCGAGCAAAATGATCCTGCCACTCCGGCCTCCAAACGCTCTCTGTCGATGGTCCAAATCAAGCTCGTACTCGTCTGGGCTGTCGTGATCAAACTGATGTCGGACGCCCGGTCCGCGGAATTCAGCTGCCGGTCGTTAGACAAGACTTGGCCTCATGGAGATCAAGGCTGGACTTGCCGTACTCTGGTGGCGCACATGGTCCATCGCCGTCTGCCACTCGTTTAGAAATCATCTCATACCACTCTTCTTTGCTTTTGCCGTTCAACAGACCGATGACAATCATCGTCATGTTGTCACAGCCAACGCCTCCGGTCTCACTGTTGGACGCGAGGCAATTGTCCATCATGTTCTCACAAATGCGATGTAACTCTTGCTTGGCAGCAATACCTCTCCGCACAAACTCGATCACCGCTTGCGAAGATTGGCAGTCCCATATACCTGCCTCGTCATAAGTCATGCACAACACCTGGGGGGACCACAAGGAGGCATACCATCGCAAGCAATCACTAGAAACTCGTCGTCAGACGAGATTTCGTGTGTAATCACGTCCGGGAAGGCTGTGACAATCTGTTGCTCGGGAGAAAGATCGGCGCTTTTCTTGAACTCAAAGTCGCCAATGGCACGTGACAAAGCGAGATTGCCGTTGACTCGACCAAAGTCCACAAAGCCTCCGGCTGCACTTATACGGGCTTTCTCGCCTGACTCTGGTTAGCTTGTGGAAGCGGCAATACAGCCGAATGGGCTACCTTCGTTCTGGGGTTTGTGGTCGAAGGACAGCGGCTTCGCCCTCCCTTTGACGCCGAGGACCGTGCGAGAATCTCCAGCATTGGCCTAGTAGTGTGAGTCAAGGCACAAACTCGTTGGAACATGCCGTACGCACCACCCATATCTTGTCTTTTGATATGATGCCAACGGACGCGGTACATCCGGACACCTCATCTTCGTAACGGGCATCTAGACAATGCTTTAGTACCGGCAAGCATGATGTTCTCGTGGATGTCGCCCATACCATTTAGGATTGCTCGATCGGTGGCGAGGAAGCCATCCTTCAAGGCTTGTTCAATATCTCCTTTGGCGAACGAGTCTTGTTTTGCGACAATCTTGTGGATATTCTCTCCTGCGAACTGCGCGACTTTTTCCCCACCATGCCCGTCGTAGACACCAAAATACGATAACCGTTTATCTGGTGCCGATGGCTGTCTGGATTTGCCGCTTTCGTCGGGCTGTAGGTCGAGGACGGCGGCATGTGCATCTTCCATACTTATACGCCATCCTTGCATTGCCGAGAGGCCATAGTAAATACAGTCATCGGCGCCGCTATCAGATGTCTGTCAAGCAGTCACGTCAGCTACCATGTTCAGGACTGTCACAACTGAAAAAGATGAGCAAACACGCCGCAGGCCTGGCGGTCTCCCGGCCCAGGATCACGCGCAGGCGCAAGGATTTCTCTTCGAGCAGCATTGAGGGGAAGAGGCATTATCTGCGCACACCTTTTCGACAACGGGCTCTGACAGAGTTTGACCCATGCTGGTAGTTCGTCAACTTGCAATTGGAATTGGAGGTGAGGGTGCTCATGTACTCCTCGCACGCGGTGTCATAAGCTGGCGGCGGGTGTGGTAGGTCAAAAGGCAGCAGACGAGGACTAGGATGGGAAGAAGCGCAGGCTCTGCAGCCTGAGGGAAATATGCACCGCCTACGGGAGGCACCGAAAGACGATACAGGCAGTAACACAGGTCAAGGCTCTCTCGTACTGCTGGGGATCAGGGTGTCGCGTGCAGGAGGTAGAGAATGTCAATCAAACAGAAAAAGATAATCCGAATCTAAAAAGGTGGGCAGGCGAGTTCGCAGGGGAGAGCAGGAATGATGCTCGGGGCAGTCACCCAGTGCGGTGCCAACAGGACCAGTAATGGTGGTGCCGGTGAGCAGTAAATGACGATACATTCAGAAAGCCCGCTCACCACCTGGCTTGCCTACTTGCCTACTTGCCTACCCTATTAGTAAGAAAGCGAAAAGGCCGCCTGTGCCTTTTCGGGGGATGCCAAGCGCTGTCTCGTTAAGTATTCCATTCTCTGTACATAGCGCATCCGGGCTGTGCTGCCCGTCTTGCTCGTCCACCCGCAGCCTTATTTGGTACTCTTTGGTCCCTGCAGGCTCCTCTATAAAATGTGCTGCAAGATACGAGGTACCATTACTCGAAAACCGTCTGCAGTCATATAAACCGAAAGCTCCCTCTTCGGCTCGCCTGGGTCCTCTTCAGCCCGCCTACTTCACCGCTTATGTGTTTGCGGCCGTCTGCCAGCCACGCTCGATGCCTCGCATCGGCATCGAAATCGTTGTTCCTTACATTTTCTTGTGAATGTGAAAGGATGTTGACTGGTATCGGTGGTAAAGATTGCGAGTTGTTGTCAGCCTGCCACTGTCTGGGCCCTGCTGCTGTCTCTTCGACGGGCGTATTCTCGTCCTCCAAGTGGCTGTCTGAGGAAGCGACTGATTCAAACTGTCCGCTGCTCGCGATGCTAGTCTTTGTCTTCAACGTGGGCGAATGCCCCGTGTAAGAGCGTAAAACACTGCCTAATCTTGCGGATTCCAGAGCGCCCGGCCCAACGCCAGACCATCTTGACCATGAATGCTCGCGAGATGCTTGGATGCCCACGATTTTGGATTCTTTCGCCCTTGATGGTGATGTTGGCGGATCTCGGTCCGTACGCGCTGCAGCGTTTCTAGAACACCACATAGTTCGCGGTGAGGCCATCATCCGCGCCGAGCCTGCATTTGAAAACCTTGCAGACCCTTCTAATTTAGCCCGTGCACGTTCCGTATGCCATTTCTGACGCAGCTCCTCAAAGGATAGAGGTTGACTGGTATCTTCTGGAACAATTCGGAGTACGGGAACCGATTTCTTACTCTTAGACCCAGTTCCTCCCGTGGTCGATCCGTCCACGGGAGGTGCAGGGAATGAGTCCAACACCAATGTAGTCCTCCTGCAGTCACTCAATGAGTTAGATGTCCAAGTATTCCGCCAAGACGTCTGATCAATATCAGGAGGGATAAGGATACCGGCCCCATGCCCAGCACCGCTCCTCCTGTCCGGCAAGCCGACCACGCACGGCATCGCATTTAGGCGGGGACTCTTTGGCAAATTCCTCTCCTGAATCTCAAGATCTGTTGCCGAGAATCTGCTCGGTATGGTTGCATGTCTAGGGGACGACAGCCTCGTGTTGACAGGCGAAGCTTCAAATGCTGAATCCACCGTCTTGTCAAGTTCCTCAGCAGCTTCAGGGTGAACGACCGGCACTCGATCCGGGGTGAACACTTGTGAAGTGCGATGCTGCGAAAGGGGATCTAGACGCCTTGTGCCCGATAATCTCTGCCTTGAGTTCTGCAAGGAATCGTTTGACCATGCATGAACCATTCTCAGCGGTCTAGGAGCGGCGGGACCCTGGGCATTGGCGAGGTGGTTAGACGTTTCCATAGCTGGTGGCAGTTGATTCGGTTGCTCATGTGAGTAACCATTGACAAGATCAGAGCCTCCTTCGAAAGAAGTCTCACCAGTCTCGTTTTTCTTACGTCTCCTGAGCCAACACAGAACCACAAGGGCCGCAAGCAAGGCTCCAACAACAGAAAAGACAACGGCGAGCACGATGTGCAGCACACGTCTGTTCGCTGCGTCCCCATTCAAAGACCTCATTGCTGATTCAGACCCTTTGTTTGTGTCGCTAGCTCCCGGAACAATTGATGTCTCCGTGGTATGCGTTGGTGTTGTTGCAGTAACGAAGGCTTTCTGAAGTACATGCAAAATCACATCTCCCGTAGCATTAAATGTTGTGTTTGCAAATGTGAGGGTAATATATAGTGTCTGGGGAGATAGATCTGCGGGCACTAATCCCGACAGAGTCCAGGTCTGAGCGTCAAAGTCAAGCCAGACAGATGCGTTGCCTAAATCAGGCATGTCTTGAATCGAAGGAGAGAAGGTGGGTACGATCAAAGTGTATGAGAAGTATTCGCCGGCTGTAATGTTCACGATGCCTATGGTTCCGAGAGATACACTTGAAGCTCCAGTACTTTCGAGAAAGATGGTCGCATTGGCAACATTATCATAGATATCTGTGACGGTGACGGTGATGGTGATAGTAGCGCTGACAGAAACATCAGGGGCACCGCTCAGGGACATTTGTTTTCTGTCCAAATCGACCCACGCCGGAACATTCGCGTCTATACTGACAATTTGATCGTCCCTGACAGGTTTCCCATCAAGTGTGATCAAGGGACGCAGCGGCACAGATTCAAATCGTACACCAGTGGAAATGCGGATATGTTGAAAAGCAGTTGAAAATGCCAGGAGCCCACGGCTAATGATAATTTCAAAGTCAATGCTCAATTCCGCAAATCCAGGTACGTTTGAAGCAACGAGTCTTAGGCCGTACGCCTCGGGTCCAGCCAGAGGGGACACCAACGCAGGGGTTGTGCCCGAGAACGCGAGTTGGGATTCGTCAAACTGCACCCACGGGGGCAGGGGGCTGCTGTCCGCCGAGACTGCATAGTATCTTGTACCAAATGTAGCGCCGTTAAAGCTATCTTTTTCGAAGGCAAGATGAAATGGCTGCTGCGGATGGGCAAGCAATGAGTTAGGCGGAGAGACGACGCCGCTTTTCTCTAGTTGAGGCAAAAGAGGTGCTTTAAGCTTCAAGGTGGGAGATTCAAGCACAATAAATGTGACGCTCGCTGACGACTGTCCTGTCGAATCTGATGCGACCAGTTGCAAAGTCGTGGTGCCCAGGTCGCTTCGGCTAGGGACTCCCGAGAACTGGCGAGAAGCACTCTCAAGGTCAAGCCACGTTGGACCTTGTGTGATTGTGTAGGAGATCTGCGGAGCGCTCGAGGTAAAAGTGTTGGCGGAAAATGCAAAACTGTAGGGCTCCGCCACGTACGCAACTGGCAGGATTTGAGAATTGAGCGGAAAAGCGAGCTCCGGTATGGCTGCGACGAGATCCAGCGCTACAGCAAGCGAGCATGCCAACAAAGGCCTGCTGATTGCCGTGAGATACATTCATGTGATACACTGGGAGTGCGGAACCATTCTGCTATGGGAGAACTCGAGGCGTTGCTGGCTGCCGTCAAAGAGCATCTGCAGAGAAGAGAATCTCGGTCCTAATCGCAGACGCGTGTTGCGTGAGAAACGCAGTCGCAAGTATTTTATGGTGTTCCCAAGGGATGGGTCGGCCTTCGAAAATTGATAATGTCTGCAAGGGATAGCTCCGCGTGAGAATGTGATAACCTTACAGCCAGGGGAAGTCCCACCTCAAGGCTGGAAATTTTGGACCATTTTGAGCCCATTCCTGCCAGGTGAGTAGTAGTCGGGGACGGTGTGTTCCACCACAAACCCATATTTAGAGTACAGACCTCTGGCGATGTGGTTTGCTTCGTCGACCCAAAGCTCAATTGCGCGACAAGACCAGCATTTCGAGTCCTCGATGACTTTCTGTACCAATAAGCTACCAATTCCATGACCTCTTGCAGCTGGTGACACGCAGATCTTGTGCAAAAGAAGTCGATGGTTCCATTTCACAACAACGGCATAGGCGACAACGGTCGAACATCCTGCTCGATCCGAGAGTCCGACAATCACTTCCATATTGCGCTGCTTGAGGACTTTCTCGTCAAATGGGAATATTTCATGGGATGCAAACACCTTGCCTTCCAGGCTCCTCATCTCATGTAGAATGCGTGGGGCAATAGAGCGAGGCAGTCGCCGGAGGTTGTGGAAAACGGGAGCAGTTGGACAAGAGGAATTGTGACGATGTCCCATTGCGGCCCGGCAGGGGCTGTTGAGGTAGATGTATCACTTATTACCGCAGCATAGAATGGCAATGACGGTTGCAACAACCATGTGAATCAAAAGCACACGTCAAACTGAGCCAGGTTGCCAAAGAGAAGTCAAGCTTGAGGCCTGAAGTTTGAGGTAGCTGGGGTCGTGCTGCCGGTAACTCTGTTCTCTGTGCTCCCGAGAACGCTACACTCACTAAAGCAGCGTGTTTCCCCGACTGTTTGCGCGGAAGATCCTCAGTGCGCTTCGAACACGGCCCTGGATTTTTCACCCCTCCCATCAAGACTTCGAATTGCTCAGCCATCAGATCCGATATTCAGTTTCTTGTCATCCCCTGTGCAGTAGGCAGGATGCCTGTCACCACCGACAAGCGGGAAAAGGCTCGGGAAGTTGTTGATATTCTCGAAGAGATATCAATTCTCCTCGTAAGTGATAATGATTCTCGTGTGCATCCCTCTCTGACAGCGGAGGCAGAACACACAACTCGATCGAACACAGCTATCGCTTTGTGTTTCTCTTATTGAGAATGGGGTGAATCCCGAGGCCTTAGCGGTGAGTGTAGAACTTGGACCGAGTCACGATGAGGCGAGTGCTAATTGACCTCAAGGCCGCCATCAAAGAACTGCGACAAGAGACTCAGGATTTACGGCCAGGGTCTGGAATATCCGAATGAAAAGGCTCCGCTGCCAGCTGCCGGCTGCCGGCTACTGAACACCTGAATTGTTTTTGGAGGGCGAAGTTTGGCCATGAGGATTTCTGCCAATGAGGACGATGCCCTCCGTCAGGTTTTCAGATCGAGTACGCCTACGTGTTCAACCTTGGTCTCTGAATCAGCCTCGTATTCATGTCTCGAAATCGGTTCCACTCCCCTGTTGCGTACCGGACAGCTTCCGCCGTCAGAGAGAAAGGGGTTTTTGCTGAACCGGTTGGAAGAGCAACCTGCAAGAGACGTACCACAAACAGGTCGGGACGGCACTTGGCCATGCGATGCGACACGCGTTTCACCAGCGAACCTCAGCCCCAATGTACTTTACGGTGTAGCGGCAACACTTCTTGAGTCCACGTGACTGTAGCGGATTTGGTATTTTCTCCGGAGAAGATCTGGAAGGGGACGCGTAAGATTTGTTTGGGTTGCACTGGGTTGCACCCTTGCGCTTTGTAAGACGGAGCGGGAGACCCAGCGAACCAGCGAGCCAGTTACTTTTGGAAGCAGATTGAGCGCAGAGGTGACCAGGCAGCATGGGCAACTGCGAATCTTCAGCCTGCTTCTTTCTACAAGAACCGTATACAACTTCCCAGAGCAGGTAGCCCGGTTGGTGTCGCTACGAGATGAGGAGAGTCCCACATTACGCATTGCTTTGCTACTGAAGAACAAGCGATAGGACACTGTTTCAAAGCAACGTTGGTTGTGGCCTGGGAAGGCATGACGTTGGTGCAATGTTTTGGGCGACGATCTCGGTGTGGCTGAGGCGCCAATCGGAGACTCACTGGGCTCCGCATCGCAGCCCTAGGTAGGGGCCCTTTAGGGCACGACTGGCACCCGTAATGCCTAAAATGCCCAAATGCCCAAACAAATGCCCTGGGAAGCGTTGGCGGCTGGGGTTGGGGTTGCCCGATCCACTCTAGGGGCCACTCTAGAGGCCACTAGGCCCTGGCCCTGGCCTTTCTTTGGCTCCGAGACCTTTGGCCTGCACCAGCCATCAGCCACTATTCTGGCGATTGTGGAATCCAAAGCTCCAGCAAGACACGGATGCCTTGTTTTTCTCACCACCCAGCCAGATTCTGACCACACTCGGCATCACATCCTAAACTCTGCTGTAATGGTTTGCTTTTGACGCAAGCCATACAAACAAGGTACGTCCCAGTTCGAGGCTCAGAGCAAACGACATTTAATGGGGCCCACCAGCACTGCCCTGGAACATCATCTGCTCAACTCGATCATTTGCAACATTAAACCTGCACGCGGTAGTTGTATTTCTGCTCCTGGGCTTCAAACGTCGTTCTTTTCCTAGAAATCCATTCGTTCTTCCTTACAGGTCTACCAGAAGGTCCTTTCCAAAATGCGGTTGACTTCACTCCTTACATTGGCATGTGCCATTACAGCTTTCATCCTTTCCATCCTCTGTCTGCTTGCTGGCGATAGAAGGTCGTTCCTGCAAGATACCGATATATTGACAGTAGGCACATCTCCTGGCACAGTTTATAGGTACATTACATGTTGACTGAAACACAGCTAAATATCTCGCGACTCGGTCATGGGAATCTTTTCGACACCTCAAGTGGCGACAGCGGCTTGCTCTCAGGTCTGAGCAGCACCATCCAGCAGGATATCAACGACGTAATCGGCAGTGCAGCCACTGATATTGCCACGCTTCTCGGCTTGCCCGACTTCTTCAATGTCCATGCCACAGACTATTGCCAGGGCACCTATTCACCCAACTCGACTGCGCAAAATGCAAGACAAAACGTGACGGAATGCTCGAAGTCGACCTTGGGCTTTCACTTTGAACCGACCAAAATTGTCCAGCAACATTTGCCTGCCGGAATTACCTTGGATGATATCCACTGGCCAAGCGACATCACAGATGCAGAACATACTATCAAAGTCGTCAGCCGCATCATGGTCATCTTCTACATTATTGGGATAGTCTTGTCGGGAGTTGCCATGCTCACCGCTGCTGCTGGGATATTTACCAACGGACGACTTTCAGCGTTCTTTAACTGGTTGGTGGATGTGGTAAGCCCTCCTGTTCCCGTCGCCACTGTCGATTTGTACTAATCACAATTCTGTAGCTTGCGTTCCTTACGCTCGGCGTGGCCTCGGCTGTAGCAACGGCCGTGGCGGTCATTGCAGCCAACAGAATCAACAAATACACCGATGAAATTGGCATAGCTGCAACTAGAGGCGGGAAATTCCTGGGAATGACATGGGCAGCCACAGCACTCATGCTGCTGGCTTCGTTTGTGTCTATTGTTCAATGCTGCGTGGGACGACAGAGACCCAAACGATATGGCGAAAAAGGCGGGTACTGAGATTGACATGGACCCTGATGCATTCATACATTACGACTTTGACAATCTAGATGAGGGTAAGCCGACGATGGCACGACTTGTATATTTTTCCTTTCCCCTCCCCAATGGCGTCAGAGCCACCAGCACCAGACTGGATAGATAATACCTAGGTAAAGATTGGGTTGCAGCGCTATTCAGAGTGTTGCACAGAGTCACCACACTTTCTTTCTTCTCTGACAAGTTTGATAGCAGCGAACATGACGTAATGATGCGATGTCGTGAAAGAAGCAAGGGTCAAAACAGTGCACCCCCAAATCGGCGCCATCAAAGCCCACTAGCCACCAGCGCCCTAAGTACGGGTAACGGAGAACCTACTGTACCTATTCACACCCCCATGGGCACCAAATCGGCGCCCGTGTTTGATACACACTATAGCTTCGTACCAGTGGCCGTCCGGGGCCAATTAGGCGTCGTTCTCCCGTCGCTATTTGGCGTCCCGGTGACGCACTGGCACGCGGGGCAGGAAGCTTTCACTTGGTGAGCTCCAGTTGCTAACCTCTTTGCCTCTCTGCCTCACCTCTGCCATCCCACTCGATCCAATTCCTTGTTGACCGCTTCCCAAAACCCATACATATATCTCCTCTCACTTCTCCGACCTTTTTTTCCTTCTCGCAAGCATTTTCACCTTCCTCCCTTCTGCCTCTTGCTGTCATACCCTTCGCTTACTTTGAGCTTCCAGAGCAGCTTCTTCTCTAACAAAGACACGTACGTACAGCACTGCGGAGTGGTGTCGCTATTGCCGTGCCAGTTTTGGACAAAACACGTACTGACTTTTGGGCAGCAACCTTCCCATACCACCTCCGACCAACCTTCACACGCATCCTCATAAGCTTTATTCCAACATGGTTGGCACAGCCGTCCACTTCGGCGGTGGTAACATCGGCCGTGGGTTCATCGCGGAGCTGCTCCATGAAACTGGGTATGAAGTCATCTTTGTCGATGTCGTCGACGACCTCATCAACCGAATCAATGCCTCCAAGTCGTACAAAATCACTGAGGTCGGCGAAGAGGGGGAGAAAAGCAAGGTCATTACAAATTACCGTGCGATCAACTCCAAGTACAACATGGACGAGGTTGTCCAGTGCATCGCTGACGCCGACATTGTCACTTGTGCCGTCGGTCCCAACATCCTCAAGTTCATTGCCAAGCCGATCGCTGATGGCATCACTGCACGCACAAAGTCCAAGCCTCTTGCCGTCATTGCCTGCGAGAACATGATCAACGCCACCGATGCCCTCAAGGCTCTCATCACAGACGAGAAGAACATGAAGCCCGAGGTCCTCAAAGATCTTCCCTCCAAGGCTGAGTTTGGCAATTCTGCAATTGACAGAATTGTCCCAACTCAACCTCCACATGCCAATCTCGACGTCGTCATTGAGAGCTTCTACGAGTGGTGTGTTGAGACCACTGGTTTCAAGTCGGGCCATCCCGAAGTCAAGGGTATCCACTGGGTCGATGACCTCGAGCCATATATCGAGCGCAAGCTCTTCACTGTGAACACCAGCCACGCCACTGCCGCATATTTTGCCTACTACAAGGGCATCAGGACCATCCACGAAGCCATGGCAGATCCCGAAATCCGACAAGAGGTTCATGAGGCTCTGGAGGAGACTGCGCACCTCATCAGCGGTAAACATGGCATCACTCCAGAGGAGCAACAGGAATACGTCGACACCATCATCTCTCGTATCTCCAACCCGCACCTCGAGGATGTCCCCGTCCGCGTTGGGCGCGCACCCCTCCGAAAACTTGGTCGCAAAGAGCGCTTCATCGGTCCTGCTGCTCAGTTGGCAGAACGTGGCTACGACGTGACGGCTCTGGTCCGTGGTGTGGAGATGGCTCTTCGATTCCAGAACGTGGAAGGTGACGAGGAGAGTAAGGATTTGGCACAGATCATGAGCACGCTGAGT